ATCATAATTGAAATGTAATCGTAATCAAAAATTACCCAGCTCTGATCTATACAAATTAATATAAATGCATACATATCGTCGTTTAAAGTGCAAAACCGCGTATGTGAAGTTGTAGAAACTATTTTCTAGAGCGTAGAAACACTCATATTTCAAATTGGTTCTCTCTTTTATAAAGCAATCGCAATTCTGGATAGTATATTTCAGGACGAATGGATAAGGATTGAGCCAAGAGCTTGTGTGAGCAAATCCATTTTTTTGGCAGCCAATGTCAGTTACGCGGTTTTGCAGAATGACGATACGCGGTTTTGTACTTTAAACGACGATATGTATACATATATCTTTAAGATTTTCTTTTAAATCTGTAAGATATATAAAATTAAAGTTTGTATAAGATTGCTAATGACAAAACCGAAAAATACTCAACATTGTGGACGCCATATAAGAAAACTGAATTATTACGAAATATAAATAAAGTGGCAGCACTTCACGCCATTTTGCATTTACTCGTTTCAGTTCGGGAACATTGTTTACTTGTTTTTAAATAACAAAATAAACAATCTTTTGTTGCAAAATTTATGTACCTTTTGAAAAAGTGTTCTCAAATAATATATTTTACTAGTGTTTCAAAAGAGAATATTGGTGATTTATTGCATTTTTGAGCATGCAATTACTCATAGAAAAGAGCACTTTTTCAAAAATTGTTTTTTTTTTTTGTATTAACTTCTACATGGTTAACAATATTAACCCCCAACTCCGAATTGTTAATATAGTGATAAAAATGTGCCGATTGGTACCCCTCCTGACAGTTTTGGACGTTATTTTTTTGCAAGTTGTACCTTCAACTAGAGAATTTCCGAGTTACTTTATATACATATGCGCACCAGCTGTGCACTAGGTAAACACACAAAATCTTATCAAAGTGCAAAACGCAAAAATATGGCTTTATTTCTCAATGTAAAGTGAAATACAGCCATATGGTATTATTTCCTATGGCTTTATTGCACGGCATCTCTATAGTGATAACTTGAAAGGGGATGACGGAAATTCGTTTCAAAATAAATCGCAAATATTAGTCATAATTAGCATGGATATATGAGCCGTTTAGTTTGAATGTGGCATAAGACATTCCATGCCGTTTGGCTTTAGAACTTCCTCAGCCAAAGGTAAAAAAGTTTTTTCATTGGTCTATGACGATAGAACGATTTACAGGTGCATCTAATTAGAGATAATCAACCATTTCAGCAGAAGATTCAGAAATAACGTATGCCACTTTCAAAATGAACGACTCATATATAAAGTATTTCTATGTAGCCTTTAATATATCCGTATTTTTATATATTAGGTGTTGCAGATCCTGTCGAAAATTGCAGCATACCGTGAGCTACCGTTTTCAAAGTCAGCTGTACCATGATTACTTTTACCTACCTGGATATCTTTCTCCCGACTTAAGTAAGAAAATTTATATAAACTTACATAAACTTAAGCTTAAAAAATCTCATAGTTTGCTTTTTCAATGCCGGCTTATACCGTTATAATGGATTTCAAACGGAAGATACGTGGCCAGAAACAATTCGCATCGCTACCAATATAAAATGCCCCATTGTGGTTACTTCGTATACAGAGTACGAGGCGCCAATGGACATTTCGCGTTTGATGCAGGAGTCCAGCCGTCGTCTGAATGTAGTTTTACCACCGACTCTGAATCCAATGGCTTCTAAGAAACCAGAACGTAACTTCATCTCAGATGAAGATGCGCCATTAATGTTTAAGAATTATTATTGCTTTGTTGTCGAATAAATAAACTTAATCATAGCATTTATAGAACTTGTATTGTTCTTATAGCGGCTATTTTGCCTTGGCTAGAGGCGGATGAGGCCTCAATCGTTGTCGTCACGCTCAGCTAACGGTAATGATAACTCAACGGTACTCAACTGTGGGAATCGGTATGCCGTCGACGTGAATACCCAGCTTTAGCCTGGCATCTTCGTCCAGGTGGTGAAATGGTTGCTAAGGATTTCGTAGGTGAGGGGGTTAGGCTCCTTGCAGTGAAAAAGCGAGTTAGTCCGGAGAGGTAACCGTTTTCTTTTGAGCACAGGGTATCAATTCCATTCCCATACGCCAATATCGAACAGTCGTCTCCCCTAGCCCCCCTACTGTTTAACTTCTACATCTCGAAGCTCCCTCCACCACCGCCCTCGCTGTCGATTTTCTACATCATTCCTCGAACATTCTGGCATTTTCTTGTTGTTCGCTTCGCGTTGCCGCAATATTCTCCAAACTGCTCTCCACCTGCTTGCTGTTCCAAACGCTGCTAGCCTTTCCAAGTGGACCAGCTTCATCTTGTTTCTTGGGCTCCCAACGGTCTGGATTCGATACACTACGTCATTCAGCCGTTGGACGACTTTATACGGACCTTCCCAGTTGTATTGTAGTTTTGGGGACAAACCTCTCTTCCGTTGTGGATACGCAACACTAAGTCTCCATCTTGGAAACCCTCGGAGCTCATCGCCTTACCATACTTGGCCTTCATCTTGTCACTCATAATTTGAGTACGCTGTCTCACAAGGGCATGTATCTCTCTCAGCTCCTCTTCCTGAATGTTGGACGTCTCTGTCCCAATTCTTCTTGCATCACCACTTACTCCAAACTTCAGGTCACTAGGCAAACGGAGTTCACTGCCGAAGATTACTTTAGCCGGATTTTTACCCGTGGTCTCATAACTGCTGACCGGAATTGCATCAGGAACAAGGGTATGTGGACATCCCAATCTTTCTGATTCTTCTCTATGACCTTCCGCAAATGCTCTTCCAGGGTTCAGTTGAACAGTTCCACCATGCCATCTGATTGGGATGAAGAGCCGTTCAAGTTTACCGGATACCCATAGGGATAAATCGATACCATCAAGGTATTACTCAAATCAGTACTTGTACTTGTACCAAACAAGGTATCGATACCTACTCAGTATCAGAAAGGTATCGAGTACTTGTACATAGATCTACCATTTTGCAAATATTGATTTTTTTTCACAAAAAATATGCATTTATACAAAATTATTTATCTTCTAATATTTTTTCATAGAAAAAGAATAGAATACATTTTTACAAGATCAATAGATAAAGTTTTTCATATAAAATAATTTGAGAAAACAACTCCTTTTTTGTTATATTTCCCCCAAAAAAATCAACTTTTCCAAATGTTTTCCTGAAAGGCGAGATTTTGATATACGGGCATGTTCTGAAATTCGAAACTTTGAACTCGACTCGATTTGCCAAATATTTTTTAATTATATCCGATGAAAAGAGAATATTCTAATTGAAAACCGTAAAAGAAGCAGCAGCGATATGAAATAAATCACTTTAATGCGAGACTTGTAAATTTTTGGGTTAAAAACCCTCGAGAAAATTATCGAAATCGAGTCGATTTCAAATTTTCAAATTTTAGAACATGCCTGATAGTTGTACCTGTTTTTTAGAAAAACCCCTAGCAAGGGGCAGACGGGTTATGTATAGACGGGCTTGCATATATAGCTGCGGAAATATAGTGCGCATATCTTCCCATTCCTCTAATGCCGAGGTTCCCAAACTTTTTTTTCTCGTAGACCCCTTTCAAAAATTTACTGGTTTCGGTGGACCCCCTGCTGATACATTTCTAAATATTCCCAAAGCTCGTAAAAAAATCAAATGTGAAAATTAGATCTAACAATGTAAATTTGCATCGCGGGTGAATTCAAAAACCAAACTTAGAGTGGCCAAACAAAAGTAAAATATTTTCGTGTGTTCTATTTATAAAAATAATGGGATTAGACACTTGTAGGTTTTAAAAAATAGAGCTCGTAAATGCATCAAAATACTCTCTCGCTCGGAGGAGTTATATTTTTTAAGAGCACTGCGAGCGCTAGCGTTATTTACATTATCTTCACCATAAACTCATCAAATGTTCGGCTCACTCATGACTTTGCACGTGGAGGTAATATACATATTATGTAAAATAGTTTATTTGTGGTAATGGCACCATTTTTATTCCGAGCTTTAAAGTGAGGCGAAAAATATTTATCACATTTTTAAAACTAAGCTGGCTAAGCTTTTTACGCCAAACTTTTCAGAAACTGACAATAGAGAAAAGAACGAGTTAAAAAAAAAATTTATAACAAATAACCAAGCAAGCAAGAACCACAAAAAGTGTTCCACCGTCTCATCTTCTTCAAGGCAAGATGGGCAAATGGAAATGTCATTTACGCCTATCACAGTCAGGTGTTTGTGTCACGTGAAGCAGTCTAGCAAATTGTCTGCAGTGTCGTCTGCTTAGTGAGAGCAAAAAATTAGATAGACCTTGTGAGATTGAAGGCAACATGAGTTTTGCCCACATGCATCCCCTCGATACCTCTCAGTCATTTCTGAGCAAGTATTCACCCAGTTTTTGATGGTGGCTTCGATTGCCGAAGGTGGGAGTGCTAAAACTAGTTGCGGACCGAGGAATGCCTGGTCTAAGCAAACTCTGGCCAAATGATCAGATGTCTCATAACCAGGTACACCAGAATGACCTGGCACCTCGTTATGTTCACCATCATATTTTAGTCGAGACTTGCATTTCCGAACTAGTTTGGAGGTACTTAAATAGAGGGCTGGTCAATGCCTTAAGTGCAGCTTGGTTGTCACTGCAGTCACGTAAACTCCTTCCTCTCCACCTATGTTCCACCTCGTAGTCCATGGCTTTGAGTATTGCAATTACCTCAGCCCGGTAAACCGAAGCATATTCCTCTACAGAAAAGTGAAGCTTATCTCTATTAACCTCGAAAAATACCCCAGATTCGACAATGTGTGAGTCCGGTCTCAGCGATGTAATCAAACCAGCATGCAGTCTCAGGGAACTCAACATTATAGAATCTCTTCAACAAAGGTAATGGTGGCGTACAATCCTGTAGCGTTGAAAAGACACGAGTGCTTAAATCTCTGTCGCCAGCAATTTTCGCCGCGCCCTACTCATTGTCATACCAGCGGTCCGGTCTGCAGGTGGCCATTAAGGCTTCCCCACGTATGAAAACACAAAGTGACGGTAAGTACAGCCATGCGTCAAGAGCACTATACACCACTCAAAAAAATTAAAGTTAAATAAAGAGGCTATGAAGCAACCATTTTGGTTCTTTACATCGAAACCAGATAAATTTTCGTGGACCCCCATTTAGAACTCATGGACCCCCATATTTTGTTCACGTCACCGTGGACCCCCGTCGAGTGTTCCGTGGACCCCTGGGGGTCCACCTGGACCACTTTGGGAATCACTGCTCTAATAGGTTGCTTTTCAAAAAAGATGCTGAAGCATAATAAGCTTTGCGCTTCCGATACAAGTACTCTTCGATACCTACTTGGATCGCAGTAAAAAGTTAAAAAGTATCGAGTAAAAAACTTCCGGCCATTTGCTAAAGTAGTGCATAACCACAAGCACGTATTTTTTCCCCCTGTGCGCTCATAATAAATGGACCGGCTACATCCATGGTAATCCGCTCGAATGGTGCACCTGAGTTATACTGCTTCATCTGGCCATGACTTCTGGATTTCGGCACTTTAGCTGCAATACACTCCGCGCAGTTAGACATCTACTCTGCGACCGATTGCCGACAACCAACCGAATGCAACCTCTTCTTGATCTTCTCCAGGGTCTTCGTGATTCCCAGGTGCCCATTGGGACCATTGTGGAATTCCTTGAGAACGTCCGGATCTCTTACCCTCGGAACTATTACTAAATTGCGGGAGCACTGTCCATTTCCACTTTCCCATACTCTATGCAAACAGCCAGATATTCATTTTAAGCTGTTCCATTCTGCCCAGTAGGCCTTTGCGATTGGGCTCTCCGTTGCCATTTCCTCCTTAGATGGCCGTCTGTCCGTCTCCAGTCCATGAATAAAAAGCTGTAGATCTGGATCTTCCTGCTGCCATTTTCGTAGCTGTTCTTCTTTCCACTCTTCTGCTGGTGTTTTTGTCGTTAGCCGGACGTCAATAATGTCTTCATTGGGCTCAGCTTTTGAGCAGTGTTTACATTCCAGGCTACGTGGTCGACGGAACATAGCATCATCATTACCGTGGACACTTCCCTTGTGGTGCACAAATAGCGAAGTAATAACTTTGCAGTCTCTCAATCCATCGAGCTAGCTGTTCTTCTGGATTCTTGAATGTAGTAACCACTTCAGCGCTGCATGATCCGTTCGAACTCGGTAGCGTTGACCATACAGGTACTTGTGGAAATATTTGACCCACTCCACCAACGCTAGTAGTTCTCTCCGAGTTACGCAGTAGTTCCTCTCTGGTTTTTCGATCGACCGGCTACTGTAGGCAACTACCTTCTCCTGGCCATCAATTACCTGCGATAATACGCCTCCTATGGCATAGCCACTAGCATCCGTATTCAAAATAAATGTTGCACCTAAAACCGTATACGCTTGCATAGGCGCAGTGCATAACCGTCCCTTCAGAACTTGGAAAGCCTCCTCCTGCTCCTTGTTCCACTCGAAGGCTCTATTTTTCCTAGTGAGCTCATGAAGGCTATTAGCAACGCTGGCGAAATTCGGAAGAAATCGCCGATAGTAGGTGCATAACTCAATAAAACTTCGTAGTTCGCGCAGGTTCCTACGTCTTGGCCAATCCTTTACTGCTTCTATCTTTTCCTTCGCAATACAGACGCCCTCCGTTGTCACCTTGTAACCTAATTAGTTCACCTCCTTCTTGAACAATGAGCAGTTTTTAGGTATCCTCTGGAAAACTTCTTCCAAATTGTTAAGGTGCTCCTCAAAGCTTTTACCCAACAAATTA